ACCAGTCGACCAGTCATTTGGTTGGTTGCTTTAGGTTTTTATATATATACACTAGTGGCCGGGTGCATGAAATTCATGCACTAGGTAGGGGGATGTCCTTCAGTTCCGTCTGTGCCTTCTCACAGTCCAGGAGCTCCATGATTGATAACCCTGCATAGGGAGGTCCTGCCGACCACCGCTGGCTGGGTAGTCTGGGCCACCCTCTTTGGGGCGATCGTGGAGCCCCCTGGCTGGTGGCCTGGGCCTCCCATTGTAGAGCGATCATGGAGCGATGGCAGGGCCCCCTGACCAATCGCATTACAGCCACCTTGGCAGCAGCAGTCAGTGCTGGGTCGCCGCAGCAACCGTGACCCAGGAAGGACCAAGAGGTCAGTAGTTCAGCCCTCTCGCTAGTCCCTACCCTTCCGAGCTGCTGCATGCGCAACCTGGCATTCGGTTGTCCATTCAGTCATTTTGGACATTACGGACCCTGGCTCTTTTATTAGGATAGATATAGATAGTGAATTCTTAGAAAGAGACTAAAACACAATCCATTTACCATCGCAACAACAAGATATCTAGGAATAAACTTAATCAAGGAGGTAAAAGAACCACTGTATTTTTCCATGAATAAGGTGCTACTTTTTCTACAAACAGGCTTCCTCTAATCAGGAGCTTAATTGTTACTGACATCAACTGATGCCATAATTGGAGGTGGAGGTAGAGTGTGCATAGATGCAACAGGGACGGAAGCTTTATGAGCCCATAAAGATTCCAAAAAATAAAAAGATAGCAGTAAGCTATTGTCTTACTCAGCAAAATTCAAACTGAATGCAATCAGCCATGCACAAGAGAATGAAACAGAGCTGCCGGGAGACAATTTGGACCTCCCCACACTGAGTATATAATCAGATAGCAGAGAAAACAGAAGAAAAACTCCTTAACATGCCAAAAAAAGAAGAAAGCCTTTAGAGGAAAACAAACAAAATGGGCAAACTTAGAGTAGAGGCTTAAGACCTGGATTGTGGAGCAATGCCAGAGTGGCTTATGTGTGTCACTCAAACTTATTCAATGTCTAGGCAAGAATGTTTGCAGTGAAATGAACATTGTTGATTTTGCACGAAAGGCAAAATGGTGCTTCAATTTCATGAAGAGAGAAGGCTTGGCCATGAGAACACTAAAAAGTTAGCTGAGAAAATGCCACCAGTTTATGGGAATGATTGCACATATATAGACAGTGACTCAGAAGATAGCAGTGATACAATAAAAGAAATTGAATGTCTAGAACTAATAGTGATGAAGTAGAGAGCAGCGATGCAACAGAGGCTGAATAAAGTGATATGCGGCATAATATCACAGTACTAGTATGTCAACATTACCTGCGGTAATCTACGCTAATAAAAAAGAGAAAGATGCAAATTGACCATACCTTTGCGATGCCCACCAGCCAATCAGAAGAGAGTATACAAATTAACAAAAAAAAAAAAGATGGTGTCTTGCCTATGTAGGTGCTGAGTAGCTAGGGGTAGGACATTTGTGTTGCTGCCATGGCGACAACATAGGTGTTCTACACCACCCTGGGTGCACGGGGAAGGGTAGAGGGTATTATAGGAGAGTGTGTGTGTGTGTGTCTCTCAGCCCAGCCTGCACCCTCTCCAATCTGGAAACCCTCGAGGGATGTCCAACTGCCCAGTTAGGCCCAATCCTACTGCTGGCTCCCAACAACTCGCCTGCCTGCCTACCCCTAACCGCTTCTTCCTGCCAGCATGATGACCCCCTAACCACTCCCTTGATGCCTAACTGCTCCCCTGCCAGTCAATTGGCCCTAACAGGCCTCCCCTGCCAGTGTGGTCACCCCTAACTGCTGTCCCCTGCAGGCCTGTTCCCTCCCAACTGCCCTCCCCTGCTGGCCATCTTGTAGCAGCCATCTTATGTCCACATGGAGGCGGCAATCTTTGACCACATGGGGGCAGCCATCTTGTGTGTTGGAGTGATGCTCAATTTAAATATTACCTCTTTATTATATAGAGGGATGAACTAGGATTTACTCATGATATGCAAGGTTGGCTGATTATATGCAAATCACCTAACACAATATACTACATAAACAAAATGAAGGATAAATATCATACAATATCAACAGATGAAGAATAAGCATTAGAAAAAACCCAGCATCCCTTTATGATAAAAACTCTCAGTACATTGGAAATAGAGGGAATATACCTCAACATAATAAAGACCATATAGACAATCCCATAGCTAACATTATTCTCAATGTTAAAAATTTAAAAGCATTTTCCTTAAGATCAGGAACAAGATAAGATAGATGTCCACTTTCACCACTTTTATTCAACATAATATTGAAGTTTTAGACACAGGAATCAGACAAAAAGAAACAAAAGATATGCAAATTAGAAAAAAAGTAAAACTATCATTTGAAGATGACATAACTATACAGAAAGAAACCTGAAAGTTCCCACCAAACAACTATTAAAACTAATAAACAAATTCAATAAAGTAGGAGGCAAAACTAATATTCAGAAGTTAGTTGCATTTTTATATACCAAAAGCAAACTACCAGAAAGAAAATTAAGAAAACAATTGCATTAAAGTTGCATCGATAAAATGAAATAAAATATTAGAACTAAATTTAACCAAGAAGGTAAAAAACCTGTACTCAGAAAACTGTAAGACATTGAAGAAAGATATAGAGGATACAAATAAATGGCAAGATATGGGTAGGAATCAACACTAATAAAGTACCTATACTACCGAAAGCAGTTTACAGATTCAAAGCAATCCCTATCAATATACCAATGACATTTGTCATAGAATTAGAACAAATAATCCAAAAATTTAAAATAATAAAAAGACTGAGAATAGTAAAAGTAATCTTGAGAAAGAAGAGAGTTCAAGTTATCATGTTACTTAATATCAAACCATACTACAAAAAGCTATATTTATTAATCAAAACAGCATAGTATTGGTAATAAAAACTAAAATTAGCTCAATGAATCAGAATAAGAAGCTCAGAAATAAACCCACATGTATGTGGTCAATTAATCTATAACAAAAGAAAAAAAAAAAATACAATGGGGAAAAAACAGTCTCTTCACTAAATAGTGTTGGAAAGGTGCAAAAAAGTACCTTGATCATTTTCTTACACCATATACAAAATAAACTCAAAATTAAAGATTTAAATGTAACAACCCAAACCATAAAACTTCTAGAAAAAAAAAAAGACAGTAAATTCTTTGACAATGCTCTTAGAAATATTTTTGGATATTATCTACTCAATCAAGAGAAACAAAAGAAAAAAATTAGACTACATTAAACTAAAACATTTTTACAAAGGAAACCATCAACAAAATGAGAAGACAACCTAATGAATCAGAGAATATATTCTCCAATGATACATCCAATAAATGCTTAATATCTAAAATAGAAACCAAACTTATACAACTTTGCACTAAAACAAACAAACAAACAAACAAACAATCTGGTTAAGGAATAGGCATAAGACACAATATAATACATAGATGGTATATTATATAATTGTACATCTGAAATCTGAATAATTTTATTAAGGAACTCGAGGCCCGGTGCATGAATTTGTGCATAGGTGAGATCCAGCTGGCCTGCCCTGATTGGGGGTGATTGGGACAGGCTGTCTGGGGAAAGAGGACATAGGAGTTAGCTGGCTAGCCCCGCCCCTGGTCAGCCTAATATGCAAATTGTCCCTTCAACCAGGAGTTCGAGCAGGGGTTAGGGCTGGCCAGCAAACCGCCAATGGGCCCTATCCCAGGGGCAGGGCTGGCCGGGGGTAGGGCCCATTGCTGGTTTGCTGGCCAGCCCTAACCCCTGCTCAAACTCCTGGTTGAAGGGACAATTTGCATATTAGGCTTTTAAATATCTGTGTTTTCGGATGGTCTTAGGCGACCCTGATAGCGGTTCTCAACCTGTGGGTTATAACCCACAGGTTGAGAACCGCTGCCGTAGAGCCTAAGACCATCCGAAAACACAGATATTTACATTACAATTCATAATAGTAGCAAAATTACAGTTATGAAGTAGCAACAAAAATAATTTTATGGTTGAGGGTCACCACAACATAAGGAGCTGTATTAAAGGGCTGCGGCATTAGAAAGGTTGAGAACCACTGCATTAAGGGATGTCCAACTGCCGGCTTAGGTGGCAGTTGGACATCCCTCTCGCAGTCCAGGACCCCTCTCTCTCCTTACTGCTCACCTGCCATCGCCTCTGTGCTTGCCAGCTGTGAGCCTGGCTTCTGGCTGAGTGGCGTTCCCCTGTGGGAGTGCACTGACCACGAGGAGGCAGCTCGATTTGAGCATCTGCCTGGTGGTTAATGTGCGTCATAGTGACTGGTTGTTTAATGTTTGGTCGATTTGCAAATTAGGATTTTATTATTTTCAAATATTTATTATTTTACTAATATACACACACACACACACACACACACACAAATATATATTATAGTGCTAAGTGGGTATTAAACTTATTGGATCTCTAGAAATTTATATAAATGTCTAAGCACTCTTGTATACTTGAAATTTAATATTAAATGTCAACTGTAATTTAAAAAGTAAAAACGCTTTTTTTAATTAAAAGAAATTAAAGTAGTATCTGATGTAATGTTTTTCTCAAAAAGAGTTTTTATCACATCTATGTGTTTATATAAAAAAGAAATGAGGCTTCTCTATAATATACTGTGAAGCGAATGTAGATATAATCCACCTAGCAGTTAGATTACATTGAAAATGTTGCAAATACAATACAAAGACATATGGTTAATTTTAAATTCAGTTAGCATGTGCATTTCATAATGTATATATAAAATGTACCACTATTAAGTCTCTTTTATCAAGTACTGATCAGTTAAATTCTTTAACTGGCAACGTTCCCTAAAGCATACACTCAATTCAAATTGTTATCTGTGAATAACAACTGAGCACACAATCAAGACAGAAATCAGTTATATCTGAATCAAATTTGGTACTTACTTTGATTCTGTGTAGGTTTTGACTGACTGGAAAGATCTTCATTTTCTATATAAAAATTAATAAACAAGAAGTTAATTTCAAGTTTTAGTTAAATTATTTAACACCATAATAATAATCAGCAACTGGAGCCAAATAAAGAAAAATCCAGGATATATATGTATACTATGTTAGGAAAAACCACTTATGCCAAGAGGAGCTGGGGAGGAAATAAGAATCAGAGTAATAACTACATATAGAATAATAGGACCATGAATAATTGATCCTACAACACCTGCCACGTTGCTCCTTCACTTGTAAGGTTTTGAATAAATATTGTCATATTAAAGATACACTAGAGGCCCGGTGCACAAATTCACGCACCAGTGGGGTCCCTCAGCCTGGCTGTGGGATTGGGCTGAAACCAGCTCTCCAACATCCCCCAAGGGGTCCCAGATTGCGAGAGGACACAGAACAGGCCAATGGACCCTACTGGTGCACTATCAAGGCCGGGGAGGGAGGTGAGAGGTTGGCCAGTCAGGGAAGAACCACAGGAGGGCTCCAGAGTGTGTCTGGCCCGTCTTGATTAGTCTCAATAGGCCGGACCCTAGTAGCAACCTACCATACAGGTGTATACCCCCTGGTGGTCAATGCATGTCATAGTGAGTGGTTGAGCACCATTAGCTTATCATTACGCCTTGATTGGTTAAACGACCAACTGGCCGACAGGACACTTAGCATATTAGGCTTTTATTATGTAGGATTTAAGAACACTTTTTGGAAAGATGATTGACTACATAAATCATCCAAAAGAAAGTGTAGCCTGTATATGGAATGCAGAGAGGAACCACTGGCAAAGCTAACAGACAGTCACTTCTGGACCACCCCCCGCAACAGTGGAACGACTCTAAAGTGGGAGGCAGATGTATGGAGAATCCACTCCTATCCGAGGAACCAATTTTGCAAGCCATGTAGATCATCGTAGAAAACAGAAAGTGGCCCTGCCCACTTGTTGCACTCAGTTATGAAAAAGGCTCCATGCTAGAAAACTACCCTAGTTTGGACTGAGTTGAAGCCCATGAGACTGATAACCTAACCACACTCCTTTGCACCCACCATGGGAAACTATTGGTCAAAGATACAATAGAAAAAAAATACTCTTATTGCTTGACAGTAACTGTCCAAGAAACCAATAATTCAAAGTGCATAAGATCAAAAGGGAATACACAAGCCCTGACATGGTCAGCCAAAAACAAACAAACAAACACACACACACACACACACACACACACACACACACACAAAAAAAAAAAAAAAAATACACACACACACACACACAAAAAAAACAACACACACACACACACGTAACTTGTTTAAAGAACTTAATACAAACAAACAACTGGGACAGATGATATCTATCAATTGGAGATACAATAAAAGAAAAAACTTTAAAAACCTACAATACAAATTAAGAATACATATAATATTGTAAGATATAGCAGAGAAGGTAAACACTTTATAAAAATGTGACTCCAAATTACTAACTATAAAGAATGGTGAAGATTAGAAATAATATTATCAAAAGTTAAATAAGAAAAATAAAATTGCACTGAAAATGGCAATACTGCAAAAAAATAGATATCATACATGGATAAGTGACTTAGAAGACAAATACAGTGAAAATAAGAGTATTTGAGAAAAAAGAACAGGTGAAAAACCACTAATTAAAGGAATAATAAAAACAAAATTTCCTAAACCTTAAAGACTTGGAGTTTAACTAGCCATAGGGCTTTCAGGGTTATAGGAAGAATTATACACCTAGACATTTTGTTGAAATATCTTAACTCCAATATCCAAGGCATTTCTGAACTCTAAAGATAAGGAAACTTTTATTTGTGAGATTTCAGAAAGAAACTAAGGTTCTGATAGAGAAAATAAAATGAACTGGAATTGGTTTCTCACCTATAGCACTATATGTGTCCTTTTTGAAGAAAGCACTTGAAACATTTTCCATTAAAAGAAAATTAGAATGAACATATCAGGAAAGGAAATCAATGAACAGGAGAAACAGTAAGAAGCCATAAATTCAGAGGCACAGAAGTAAAAATGCATAGAATTCCAAGAAAAGATAAATGGATTAAAAAAAAGAGCAAATATGAAGTCAAATGACAGAGCGTAAAACAAGCTTTTTTTTTTTTAGAGGTAATGTATACTGACAACCATAAGAATATGAAAGTGATCACTAGTAATGAAAGATAAAATTTTAAAGCTAAAAAACTATTATCTATATACCAGAGACCTGGTACACGAAATTTGTGCACTGAGGGGTGATCCTCAGTCCAGCCTGTACCTTCTCCAATCTAGCATCCCCCAGGGATATCCCTGCAGGATTGGGAGTAAACTGACAGTTGGACATCCCTCTCACAATCCTGGACTGCTGGCTCCCAACCGCTTGCCTGCCTGCCTGATCAGCCCCTAACTGCTCCCCTGCCAGCCCTATTTCCTCCAACTGCTCTCCCCTGCAGGCCTAATCTCACCCTCAACTGTCCTCCTCTGCTGATCTGGGCACCACAGTGGAAGCCGTGCAGAGCAGCAGCTGAGGGAACAATGGGAAAGTCAGGGTTGAGGGAACTCTGGAAAAGCTGCAGGGAACAGCTGTGGGGACCTGCTCCCTTACGGAGCTAAGGAATCTCCAGCAGCAGGCATGGCCCCTGGCATGGCTGCAGGAACCACAGCAGCAGGTGCACAGAGGGGCTGCCAGACCTCCTGAACCCACAGGACCCCAGGAACTGTGATGGCAGGTGTGCAGAGCAGCTGGACTTGCACCCACTGTGCACACTACCATCTTGTGACAACGTTATGGCATAAGGGTTAACTTGTATATTACCGCTTTATTATATAGGATATACTAGTAAAACCCTAATACGCAAGCAGACCGAATGGCAGAACTGAACAACTAGTTGCTATGACATGAACCGACCACCATGGGGTGTGTGCAGAATATGGTGGGCGTCAGCAATGGCAGGATGGTGGAGCAGTTGAGTGGGGGCACCAGACCAAGGCAGGGTGCCAGTTGCTGTCAATGGGGCGAGCCTCTGGTGGTTACTAAAAATTTTTTGCTCCCGCGCACCATAGTCCCACTGGGCACTTGCACCTTCTGCCGGTGCCAGCCTCATTTGCACCGATAGCTGGCACAGGAGCCACCATTCACACCTGCTTCACACGTCTGGCACCAACCCCAATCGCTTGCCACTGTCAGTGGGTATAAGCGGTGGCTGCTAGCCCCCAACACCCCTCAGGACTTCTCCACCTCACCCTGCTCAAGAGAGGCGATCGGGGCCAGCAGCCTCTTCTTATACCTTCTCCCAGGGACCGCCCTGCTTGCACCCGCAGTCAGCTGCAGTCAGCTCCAGAGTCGCCACTTGCACCTACTACCAGCGCTCAGCACCAGTCCCAATTACTTGGCAATGTCAGCAGGAATAAGCAGCAGCTGCCAACCCCAATCACCCTGAGGGTTTCTCCACCTCCCAATATTCGTGAGGGGCGATATGGGCAGCAGCTGCTGATCGCACTTGCTGACAGCACTGGACTCACTTGCACCCGCTGATGGTGTCAGCCCCCAAGTACTCTGCGCCATCAGCGGGTGCGAGCAAGGCTGATGCCATCAGCAAGGCTGGTGCCATCAGCAAGGCTGGTGCCATCAGCAAGGCTGGTGCCATCAGCAAGGCTGGTGCCATCAGCGCATGGGAGTGGCAGCAGCAGAAGCAGGACTGCCAGCAGACAGGGAACCAGGGGCCGTGACTGGGAGGGACGGGCAGGGTCGTGGAGGATGGATTGAGACATCCAGCCTCTGTGCCCACCACAGCCTCGTGACCCACAGTTCTTTTCTTTTCTTTCTTTCTTTTTTTTTTTTTAAAGATACAGCTTCTAGCCAAAACTGGTTTGGCTCAGCGGTAGAGCGTCGGTCTGCAGACTGAAAGGTCCCAGGTTCGATTCCCGTCAAGGGCATGTACATTGGTTGCGGGCACATCCCCAGTAGGGGGTGTGCAAGAGGCAGCTGGTCGATGTTTCTCTCTGACATTTCTAGCTCTCTATCCCTCTCCCTTCCTCTCTGTAAGAAAAAAAAAAAAAAAAAAAGATACAGCTTCTATTTATTTACTTTAATTATTAGTTCCTTTCAAGGTGTAAAAAATTCGTGCACTGGGTCCCTAGCACAAGAATAATAATGGAAAAAAAAGTAAAATGGAAGGAAAAAATAAGAAAATTTTTTTTAACTTTACAGTTGTTTGAAATTCCTATTAAGTCTCTTCAATGATTTAATAAACAGAACCCATTTATATAAAATTTGTAAACCAAGTAACCTTCCAAATAAACAAATCTCAAAAATATTTGAAAATATATAAGAAAAAAACTTTTGTAAAAATAAAAACAAAAATGAGTTAGGACAATATTAATAAGGCCTGGTAAAAGGAAATATTATAAAGTATAACTCAGCTGACTTTATTTTTATGCCTAGGAAACTCAGAATACTTTGAAGATAAAAACAGGCCTAAGATAAAGTGTATATTTGTGGGGAAGAGACAGCTATATATACCCAAACAGACTGTTGAGAAGCATTGGACCAGGCTCTCCTGAACTGGCAGCCTTCACTGCTGCTGAAATCTCTCCCAGTGACTGGCTCTGCCAAGGAGACCGCGCCATCTTGAAAAGGAGAGTGGCTGATATCTGGGGACTCTACAACCACAACACCTAGGCAAAAGCTGTGAACCCAGGAACACGGGATCTCAAGCAGTGTGAATACACGGACTCAGATGAGCTCTGCACTTTCTCATGGAAAGGTGAAATTTCCCCTAAGGAAAGGAGAGAGATACATTACCAGACACCAGAAAAAGAGAGGTCATGGGGTTACAAAGAAAAGTCCACATATAAAAGAAAAGAAGGCATCAATAAAATGGAGGCAAGCAATATGTCAGAGAAAGAATTCAGAGAAATGGTCATAAGATGGATGAAAAAAATGGAAGACAAATTCAACGGTATGTGTAAGAACCAACATGAAATGAAGAACTAAG